CACTTTCTTTCGACACAAATTTAAGTTAATCGGGATTCAAAATGTATAACGGATATCGAATGAGAAACCCAAATTTTTTTATAGAAATGTCATCCCTACTTTTCTTCTTTCTTTCTCTTCTTCTTTTTTTTCCTACCTATTTTTGTTTTCTTTTTTCCATTAGAGCGAGAATGGTGGAATGTATAGTTTCATTAATCTTAATTAGAGAGTTCGAGTTTGAGTATTAAGATTGAACAATTCTTGGCAGGGGACGCTTTTATTTGCAAATGGGTCTATCCGGTGTGAATCTAAATTAATAGGGTCAGTCAATTTCGAATACCAAATGGTTCAAGCCAAAAAAAAAAAAAAGAAATACTTATATTGCTCTATTTCTTTTGCTTTTCTCTTTGCAAGTTTGGTCAGTGGAAAAGGAGGAAAAAAATGATAAAAATTTATATGAGAGCTTTGATAAAAATGGTTAGTGCTCTGTGCTTATGGAATTGTGAGTTAAGTTTACAATCTCTACCTTTGCAAATAAAAAAAGTCTGAATTGTGTTAGTATGTACGTTCAGTCTATAGTAGAAGAGAAGGTTAAACCGGAGGCAACACATGGAGGAGGCATATTTCACAAGAAAAAAGAAATTGAAAACGAGGGAAAAATAATGACACTCATGAAACACATTTTTATATCCAACAATTTATTTAACTTAGCTGTGTATTGATAAATTTTTTAGGTCATTATTAACCTGTTATAATTGTATCGGTAAAAAATGTACCTGACATGGTTGGTACAGGAGTCGGTATACGGCAAGTATTTCCTAGTTAGCTCCAAATCAACCGAAGTCACTTAGATCGAAGATTGAAGATCAAGGGGCGATACCAAGATCGCCTTATCCGTACGGAACAAAGTCGTTCCGGGGCAACCTATCCGAATAGGTACCTTCTCCGGGACCAACGAATTCCTAGATATACGGGATTCTCCATTAACCACGTCCTGCAACTACGATTCAGCTAGCGTAACAGGCGAGATTCATCGTTATTACTTGTAACGTCTATAACTTATAGGAGAAATTAATCTCAGGGAACTTTACAATTAGGTTACCCTATAAATATTTCTCCTTTCCCAACGTCGTAACAAATTCTGATTATACTACATGATATTATACTGAAATTATCGCTATAGCTTTCTTAATCGTCTCCATTGTTCGTTCGCTTTCGTCCATTGAAGATTAATCACTAAGATTTTCTTTCTCATGTTATTATTATTTTGATATTACACTATCTTTCATCAATACTGATTCAATTGCATTAGTTTAATCTAGTTGTTTGTGGCCTAATTTTGTAAATCTAATAATCGAATTTTAAGTTAGATAATAACGTGTTATCATACATACTCCATTAATAGTACGATAACAAGCCAATAATAACATATGATGACATCGGCATGATAGCAATGATATAAGTTTTAAGAGATGAGTGTAATTTTCAATATTGTCCGGCTATTCCAATAAACCCTTTAAATATCATGTTGAATTTGACCATCCCAACCTAATTTATTCCCATTGTACAACCTTTGATCACAGAAATAATAGACTGTTTGACAGAAAGACTAACTCTTTCTTTGTGAGCAGGGATGTCATATTTAGGGAATTCAACATTTCCCTTTCTTATTTCACAGCACCAACAATCTATGCCCAATAATCAATTCCCAAGTCACATAGATGATGTCTTTGAAACAATGCAAATGGAGGAGAAGATCCCAATGGATGCAGAACCCTCAAATTCAACAAGCATGTAATTCAATCACACAAGTCCAGATACAACTCATGATGCAGATGACAACAGTGGTGATGTAGAAGAACAAGCAGACACCACAGATATAGCTGATCATGCAGATTCACCAGGAAATACAGAATCACAGATATCAAATGAAGTGGTCCCAGCTGAACTTTCCATGGCACCTACAGCTCCTCCTCTTATTAGGCAGTCAACAAGAACAAAGATCCCTCCTATTTGGATGCAGGATTATCTAGTAGGTGGAAAGAAGAATTCACAATGTCCTTATCCTATATCAAACTTCCCATCTTATGACAATACCACACAGAAATACAGGGATTACATCATGGCTTTCTCAACAATCACAGAACCACATAATTTCAGGGAAGCAGTGAAAGATGACAGATGGATACAAGCCATGAAACAAGAGATTGAAGCTTTAGAGGATAACAAGACCTGGGTTGTGGTGGACCTGCCACCTGGGAAATCTTCTATAGGATCAAAATAGGTCTATAAAATCAAGTACAAAGCCAATGGAGAGGTTTAAAGCTGGACTTGTTGCCAAAGGATATAATCAACAAGAAGGGCTAGATTATCATGAGACTTTTTCACCTGTTGCAAAGATGGTAACAGTACGATCAGTCATTGCATTTGCTGCCTCCAAAGACTGGTCTCTCTATCAAATGGATGTCTTTAATTCTTTCCTACAAGGAGACTTAGAAGAGGAAGTTTACATGGACCTACCACAAGGTTTTCAAAGACAGGGGGAGAACAAGGTTTGCAGACTGTTGATAGGTGAGTTAAGATATTTTCTTGGGATTGATGTCTTGAGGTCTAAGAAGGGGATTCTTCTCAATCAAAGAAACTATACTCTAGAACTTATTTCAGAAATGGGGTTAAGTGGTGCTAAACATGTTGTTACACCTCTAGAACTCAATCAGAAAGTAACTTCTATTGAGTATGATAAGGTAATTGGGAGTCAAGGCCTTGGCCCTTTGATAGATGCCACATATTACCAGAAATTGATTGGCAAACTTTTGTATCTCACAGTCACTAGGCCAGACATTAGCTATACAGTACAAGTCTTAAGTCAGTTCATGCAAGCTCCAAAAAGATCTCACATGGATGCTGCTACTCGTGTAGTGAGTTATCTCAAACAGGAGCCAGGAATAGGAGTGATCATGCGAAGGCAACAAGCAGATGCTTTGGTTGGATTCTGTGACTCAGACTGGGCAGCATGCCCAATGAGTCGAAGGTCAGTCAGTGGTTACCTTGTTAAGTTTGGAGATTATTTAATCTCTTGGAGGTCTAAGAAGCAACACACAGTCTCTTGCAGCAGTGCTGAAGCTGAATACAGAAGCATGGCATCTGCAATAGCTGAGATTGTGTGGTTGAGGGGACTGTTTGTAGAACTAGGGACACCAATTCACCAACCAGTTCTCTTATTCTCAAATAGTAAGGCAGCAATTCAAATAGCTGCTAATCCCATCTTTCATGAACGAACAAAGCATATTGAAATAGATTGTCATTTCATCAGGGAGAAGCTCAAGCAAGGGATACTGCAAACACAATATGTATCTACACAACATCAACAAGCAGACATTCTCACTAAAGGATTGGCATCACCTCAGCATCAGTTTCTACTTAGCAAGCTTGGTGTGTTAAACATTTTACACCGTTCAGCTTGAGGGGGAGTATTGGAATATGTAGTTAAATGTATAAGATATGGGAACTTAACTGTACATAGTAAAAAGTTAGGGGTGTTAGAGTTATTTTAGTTAGTTAGTAACTAATTGTTAGTTAAGAGGTGTATATAGTAGGGCTGTGCACGGATCGGATTGGATCGGATTTAGCATATTTCGGATTCGGATTTCGGATTTCGGATTCTGAAAAGGGCAATCCGAATCCGATCCGAATTAACATTGGATCGGATCGGATTTTAAACTTTGGATCGGATAATTTTTCGGATTGTCGGATCGGATTGTCACAAAATTGCTGGTTAGGACTTAGGACCATTCATCTCCTAAAACACCATTCAATCAGAAAAAACAATTCATCTCCTAAAGCACCATTCAATCAGAATCAAAAAAATTGAGTGAATAAACACCATTCATCTCCTAAAACACCATTCAATCATATTGAGATTCACTGTTGTTGGTTGTGGAATCAGTTGAAGCGTCTCTTTCACCAAAATTTTCAACAATTTGAAGTTTATTTGGTGTCTCTGTCTCATCTTCCATCTACCAAAACAAAAAAAAAAATCAAAGTAAAATCAAAAGTTGAAAAATAGAACATGAAAGAGACATAAAAGACATAAGAGAAGGGAAGAGAGGCGGAAGAAAGAGACATAAAAATCAAAGTAAAATCAGAAGTTTGAGACTTTGAGTCTTTGAGACTCTTCAGTCTTCACTGAAGAGAAGAGAGGCGGAAAAATCTAAGTGAGTGAGGGGGTGTGTAAAAAATGAATAAGCCTAACCCTAAAATTTTAGTGTAGTATTTATATAGGTACATATAGTTTCGGATTTCGGATCGGATCGGATTTAGATCATACCAATCCGAATCCAATCCGAAAATCCAAAATTTTATAAAACACAATCCGTATCCAATCCGAAATCCGAAATCCAAAAATCCGAAATAGAGTGGATCGGATCGGATTTCGGATATCCGATCCAAATGCACAGCCCTAGTATATAGTCTGTTGTATTGTTCCAAATCTTCTCAATCGAGCTATTCTGAATACAGAACTTTCTTCTCCAAGCTTCATCTTCTAACAATACTGATTCAATTGCATTAGTTTAATCTAGAAGTTTGTGGCCTAATTTTGTAAATCTAATAATCGAATTTTAAGTTAAATAATAGGAGTAACTTCTTATCATACATACTCCGTCAATAGTACGATAACAAGCCAATTATAACATGATGACATCGACAGGATAACAACGACATAATTTTTAAGAGATTGAGCGTAATTTTCAATATTGTCCAGCTATTCCAATAAACCCTTTAAATATCATGTTGAATTTGACCATCCCAACCTAATTTATTCTTCCCATTGTACAACCTTTGATCACAGAAATAATAGAATTGACCGCCTCGCGCTTGGAATATATATTTGATCTCGTTGCTGCCGTCTTTCTTTTATTTTTCATTTCTACTTTTTTAATTAAACTTTTGACCACTGAAAACAACTCGAAATCAAATAAAATGATGCTAGTAGTTATACCAAATACCAGCTCGAACACAGGATGTAAATTTCTATATTTTTTTCCTAAATGATAACTCAAACATATAAAAAAAAAGGTAATTCGGTGCACAAAATATTCTGCATTCACGTAGGGTACAAGAAAGGACCGCATCCAAAAGGTGTGATGTAGACAACCTACCCTAATGCAAGCACTAGTAGCTGCTTACAGCTCAACCCGTGACCTACAAGTCATACAATGACAACTTTACTGTTGCTCCAAAAGGCTCTGCTACGATAACTCAAACATATGAAACAAATTCTATATATACCACATTTCACCAGCCATTTTCACCATTATATTGTTGCTCTCAGAGCCCCTCTAGCAGCTTCGAGCTTCATCTCTACACCTTTACGACTTCCACAGAAATACATATATACTTACTGCATAAGGAGATCACAAGAAAACCGAGATGTTAGGTATCTGAACCCACTGGCTCGATGAATCCGGATTCACGTCGGGTATGACAAGAATAAACTGTAAGTAGAGATCAAATATATAAGAGAGAGATCATACCTATAACCAAGATGCTCAGCACAGATTCAAGACAAAACAGCCCAAAACCGATGAAATAGAAAATCTAAAAGAGGAAAATAGCATATTCATATTAACAGACTGACTCCTATAATTTGTATGCTATACTTCATTACACCAGTTGACTATGTTACATACCCCAACAAGTACGTCATCGCCCATGAGATCTATTGTAGGTAGAATACCTCTGTTCCAACAAATTATAAATGTTCAGATCATGAAACCAGATAATAATTGCAACAACTTAGAGCAAAATCCAGAGAAATCTATAAGCAATTAGCTAAAAGAAGGACTAATGCTCGTTACAACAAGTCGTACGGATTAAGAAACGAACTTACGTAAGTGATTTTCCATCAAAAACTACTCGAGGTGAAACAGCAGCAAAGACGCAGAATATAATATGAAGCTGTACACAAAAGCAAAATATAATAAGACATCTTTGCATTCACCAATTTAGATAAAGAAAAACAATTCTAGGGAACTTAATTACCTTGTAAAACAAGAAAAATCCCGCAAACTGCATGGTACCCTCAGTTCTGTGTCAAAATATTTGTGTTAGCCCCACACAAGATGTAAATAATGAATGAGTTTTCAGCCACAATATCAACCTTGTAAGCTATAATATTTCAGCTACATGACCAAAACTCAAGTGACAATTTGCGGTATTGCCTGTATTATCAAAGGTGAAAAGCGCAAGAAAGCTCTAAGGATTGTGAAGCTTTATGCGCAGCGCGCAAAATAAAGCGCGAGCTTTAATGAAGAAAGGCACAAGTGGAGAAAAACTATAAATATGTATGTGTAGTTCAAGACTAATATCTATAAGAAATGAATACCAAATAAATGGATAAAGAAAGAGTACTCATAAAGAAATAGAAGAAAATTTACGATAAAGTGAAATATCAATAGTTTAGTATTGTCTTTTCAAGATTACACTCATTGGCAAATGAAAGTATGCCTTAGAGCCTTGATGACAATATTAAAGTGCCCGCTAAGCGAGGCGAAGCGCTAAACATGTTTTGAGCCTCGCTTCAGGACTTAAGCACGCCTTTGATAACATTGGGTATTGCATTCAGAAAATGTCCAATCAAGTACTGAAAGTAAATGTTCAGTTATTTACCTAAAAGCACGATAAAGAGGACGATACCACAATACATACGCTCCTGGAACACCCGATATGAAGTAGATAATAGAAAGGAACCAGATCTTTACATCTAAAGCCAAAAAAACTAAAAGTTAGGATGCTTCATGACATGCAGAAATGAGGAACATACACACTGAATTAAACAAACCTCCTTCTCTAATCCATGCTATAGTGAGAGCTATGATATTCCATAAAAGGCACGCAGAAAGTCCTGTTAACATCATAAGTTATGCCAAAATGACATTTGTAAAATAAAGCAGAAGAACCAAACACATATATAGTGAGGTAAAGATAACATACCCAAAAATGCTGTAAATGCAGCATATTGCAGCTTTTGCAAATGAACAGGTATTTCATTTGCAACGTCGTGATGGATAATTGGGAAGAATGGAGGCCAATTTTTCGCCTCAAGAACAATGGCTGCTGTAAAATCAGAGAGAATAGAGGGACTTGGAAATACTGCATAAAAATCATCTGAACCATGTAACCTTTAAACTTGCAAAATACTTATTAAAAAAAGTCATAAGATTTGCATTACTTATGGCTACACCATGTAATTAAATTTGGACGGACACAATGGATATAATAGAACGAAAACCAAAAAGGAAAAGTCAATAAGCTCTATTTCTTCATATCTAATTGGAAATTTATGGTTCTATATATCCCATTTAAGTTCCTAGTTTCAATGTCTACAAAGTTACTAACTGAAATAGCCCTGATATTGAATGAAGAAGCATAAAAGGGTACAAGAGATCATTCGACTAACGCAAGGAGAAAAAGAAAACACCTCTTGCAGCAGCAGCCTCTTCTTTTTGTCTCAATTCCTGGGCATGGAAGAAACCAAATCAACGAATACTAACATTGATACCTCAAGCAAACAGGAGCAGCCGAATGTTATATGGCTATTAAACTTTTGAAACTTGTGATCTTTAAGATACCGTAACATTTGAATGACTATAAAAGCTTGTCATTACGAACAAAACGGGAAGTTCGAGTTAAATTGTTTTTAATTAAAAAGGTGGCATTCTTTTTGGAACGGATTAATAAAGAATGTCACATAAACTGGAATGTAAGGCGCACATTTACTTATTAGTCCTTTCCAATAATAATGATATATTTCTATATTTGAAAATAATTAACTTTGCACTATCCATTTTATCCTTAATAAGCTACACAATAGTATGGCATATTTAAGGGCACAAACTTAAAAGGTTTTATAGCCACACAAGTATTATGGCATATTTAAGATAATTTCAAAAGTCTTTATTGTTTTTTCTTAAACAGTATGGTGAATTAAACTATATATATATATATATATATATATATATATATATATATATATATATATATCACACAAATTGGAACGAAAAAAGTATTTAACAAAATATTTTGCGAAACAAGTTTGCAATTTGGCCATGTTCCTCCGCTGTGCAAGCATCACAAATAGCGGCGAAGCTAGAAATTTCCCCAAGGTGTTCAAATTTTAAAGACGTGAAAAATTCCCGACAAAAGGTGTTCAATATGTATTATATTCCGCTAAAACATAATATTTTACCTATATACACAGTGTAATTTTTCGACGAAAAATAAGAGCAAAGAACCAGAAGAAGCCTAATAAGGGGCGGAGCCAGCCCTTCGGCTAGGGGTTAGGCGAACCCACTAGTTTTGATTCAAACCTTATAATTGTCGTAAGAAATTCATTGAATATACATAGAACCCAGTAAGTTAAAAAAAATTAGGATCCTTAACCCATAAGCTTCAGATCATGACTCCACCCGTGAGCCTAATTATGTAGAGGTGCATAAATGATTCCAAGGATTTTGAAAGGGTAAATTAAACCTATGGAACCAAAAACTTTGTAATATTGTTGAAGACTTGGTAGAATGGTTAATTAAGAAACAGGGATACTGATAAAAGGATATCATAGTAATAGATGTTAAATAAGATTAAAAAAGAGAGTAGTAAATAGATAATCACATTCAATAAATTCAGAAGTTGAAATTACCGTAGCACTATCAAGAGTAATATCAATAGGTGCGTCAGCCGGTTCATGCGGAAGCGGTGAAAGTCCTGAGTTGGTTGCGGGAGGAACACTCCCACTACTCTGAATAAAAGAGGCTAATATGATTTGAACTCGTTTAATATTAATGTGGATCAAGACAATGGGGTAAAATATTTTTTACTGGCACTTAATATTTAAATCAAATTAATGAATGCAAATATATCCATTTATTCACTTAATTATAATTTTTTTTTTTTTGGTAATTAAAACATTCATTTACCATGGAAATATTTACAAGTAAATCAAAAACCCTTACATATTTTCCTTCTTTCCTATGCTTCACCCCCTTACCACCTTTCTATTATTTACATATTTCCTATCTATTACATTGGATACCTGTCTAAACTATGTAGGATTTTCTCTATATACTTATTACTTCGATAGTGAATCTCCTGTATTATCATCTTGCATATTATCTCCCATCCTCTTGCCTTGGCTTGGAAAATTCGAATATTTCTTTCTTGCCACACATAGTACACAGTTGCTGTTAATGCCATTTTATATAATTCTGCTGCTGCATTTTTCCTCTTAGTCCACTTCTCAGCCCATCTTAGTTCCTCATCCCATCCATACACTGGTCTTTTGATCCCTTGCCATACTAACAGTTTACTCCACAATGCATTTGCATATGGACATTCGAAAAACAGATGTTGAATGGTTTCACTAGCTCGTTTGCATAAGACACATTCTTGATCAACTTGTATTCTCCATCTCTGTAGTATGTCTCTTGTGTACAGTTTGCCATGTGCTATCATAGTTAATACAAAAATTCACCTGGGGCATCCTGTATTATGACAAACAACTCTTCTCCAGCTTACTTTGTCAAATCTTCCTCGCAGTCTGTGATATATGTGTTTAACCGAACATTTGTTCATTTTTATGATATCATCATAGCTGAATCCTGCATCCATAAATGTCTTCTTTGCTTTCATGATCTTGCTCACCATACATGATGTTTGCTTCAGTTGGACTTCCCATATGTTCCTATCTTTGATGTAGTAGCTATGCATCCATTGTATCCACAGCTTCTTCTTTTCTTTGCAAAGGTTCCAGTACTGTTTACGTATGGCAGCTTCGTTCCAGATAGTTATGTTCATGATATTAAATCCCCCTGCTGATTTGGGGAGACAGACTTTCTCCCATGCCAATAAGGCCTTTTTTGACGCATTGCCTTCTCCTGTCCATAAAAAACTTCTGCAGATTGCTTCAATTAGCTTAGTGATCTTCTTAGGGAGCACAAAGATTTGCGCCCAATAAGTTTGGATAGAGAACAGCACACTCTTTATCAGTTGGATCCTTCCAGCATAAGACAGAAACTTAGCAGTCCATGAAGTTATTCTGCCCACTATTTTATCAATCAGAGGTTGACATTGAGCTATTGATATTCTTTTAGAGCTTAGAGGAGCACCCAGGTATCTAACTGGCAGGTCACCTCTCTGAATTCCTAGAAACTCTAGGATTTCCTCTTGTGCATCTTGTGTGACTCCTCCAAAGAATATTGAACTTTTATTCTTGTTGATCACCAGTCCAGAAGCTTTTGAAAACTCCATAAAGCAATGGAACAGTAACTTGACTGATCCTATATCACCCCTGCAAAACAATAAAAGGTCGTCAGCAAATCTAAGTTGCAAGATTTGCATCTTTGCACACTTGGGATGATAGTTGAAGTCTGGGATCTGATTCAATGTCTTTAAGCTTCTTGTCAAGTATTCCATTGCCAGTACAAATAGGAATGGAGAAATTGGATCCCCTTGTCTCAACCCCTTCCTAGCTTCAAATGGCTTTGTCAATGCACCATTAATCAGTACTGTATAGGTGACAGTTTCCATACATGTCATGATCCACCTCACAAACTGTTCTGGGAAGGCCAAAGCATTCAGTATATGTTCCATGAAAGCCCATTCAACTGAGTCATAGGCTTTTTGCATATCCAGTTTCATCATACACCTAGGTGATACCCTTTTCCTTCCATATCCTTTCACAAGTTCATGGCTAAGGATGATGTTATCTGTGATTACTCTGCCAGGAACAAATGCAGACTGTGTACTATCAATCAGTGTATCCATGACTCCCTGCAACCTCTTAGTTAAAACCTTGGAAATCACTTTGTATAATACAGTACAACAGGAAATAGGTCTGTACTCTTTAATGCTGGCAGGATTCCTAACTTTAGGGACTAAGGTAATAGCTGTACAGTTGACAGGTCTATACATTTGAGTTGTTTCAAAGAATTCCAATACAGCCTGTGTCACATCCTTTCCTATAATTTGCCAGGACTTCTTGAAAAATACTGCATTAAAACCATCATAGCCAGGAGCTTTTAGATCACTGATATCCTTCAATGCTGCCCATACTTCTTCCTTAGTCACTGGTTTGATAAGCTGTAACTGTTGTTCTCTATTTAATACTGCTCCCAGTTTCATGACATTTGGGTTGATGGCTGGAATGTTTTCTGCTCTTGACCCCAGTAGTTTCTTATAATATCCCAATATTTCTGCCTCTATGTCATCCTCCATCACTAATTGAGTTCCCATGTCATTTGTTAAAATCTGGATTCCATTCAAATTACTCCTATTCTTATGTGCAAAGAAATAGGCTGAGTTTGAATCCCCCAGATTCAACCATTGAACTCTGGATCTTTGCTTGTATATACTCTCTTCAATCATTACCCATTTTTCTCATTCACACTTCAAGGCTTTCTCCTTCTCAATCTATCTTCCGTAGTCTACAACTCATTTCCTCTTGTACTGACTGCAACTCCTTCCTGGTCTCTTTAATCTTTTCATCAACCCCTTTATAGTGCTGTATGTTTATCCCTTTGATAACCTCCTTTGTCATTTTGAGGTTATTCCATACTGCCTGCATCATCCCTTTTGCACCCCTTTCTTTCCAAGCTAGCTCAACTTGCTGTATGAATTGGGGATGATCAGCTATACAGTTAAAAAATCTGAATGGTTTGTTCTTCTTTCCCTGTACCTGTGTGATCATTAATTTCAGTGGTGAGTGATCAGACACAAGTGGATCTAGCACCTGCGCTTTCAAATTTGGCATTGTCATCATCCAGTTAGCATTCACAAGCCCCCTGTCTATCCTGCTGTAAGTATGGTTGTTAGTCCATGTGTAATTCCTTCCCACATATTGTAATTCATTCATCCCAGTATCATTCATATACTCCTTAAAATCTTTTGTCTCCATATCTTGAATCTCAGAACCATGTTGTCTGTCTTGTGCATGTAGGACAACATTATAATCCCCCATAGCTAACCAAGGACCTTGTTGCATACTATGAATCTGCCTCAGCTTTCTCCACAAATTCAACCTATCTTTAATGGTATGCAAGCCATATATTGCTGAAAATTCAAATGTGATTGACTTTGAAATTATTCTAATCTGGCCATGTATCAATTGTTCATCAACTTCAGCTGGTTCAAATGTATAAATTGTAGGATCCCAAATTACCCATATTCTACTTTTGTGCCTTGTACTAGAGTTGGATGTCCATTTCCATCCAGGTGCAATCTTTTTAATTACCTCATTAGTTTTCTGCTCTTTTACTCTATGCTCAACCAAAGCTATTACTGCTTTATTATTCCTTTTATGAACTTCTTACCTCCTTTTGCTTATAAGTTTTATTCAACCCCCTAACATTCCATGTTATCACACTCATACTGGTATGAAATAAGGATCATGATACAGTTCCTGCACCCCTGGGCTACTTAGCTGCACTTTGCTTGTACCTGGTTCATCATATGTTTGATCATTTTTCAAACTTTGGAATCCATTATTTCTAGCTAGTTCCTGTTCTTCATTTTGTTAAGCCTTAGCTACCCTTGCTGCTGATTTACCAAGGACTGTTATCCACCCCTCATCATTCTTTTGTGCATCTTTCCCTTCTGACTCTGACTCTGCCAGCTGAGTTGATGCAGTCATTTTCTTTTGTTCAGTCTCCTTCTTTTCATTAGCACCATCTCTATCTGTTCTGAGCCAGACCTGCTTGCCTTTGATCACCTTCCTCTGTTGTATCATTCTTTGTGGTTGTACATTTTTAACTTCAGTACAATCATGTCCTATTTTCAAACATTTAGTGCAGTATGTTGGCTCCCAATCATAAGCAACTTCCTGTTGGATTAGCCTCCCCTTAGGTTCCTAAAGTTTCACATTTCTAGGCAATGGTTTAGTGATGTCCATTTTAATTAGCATTCTTGCATAGGAAATCCTAATTGAACCAGTAGTACATTCATCAGCATAAACAGGATTTCCCAAGGCACTTCCTATCTTACTTAATGCTTTCATACTCCAACAATTAAGAGGCAGATTAGGAAATCTCACCCATAAGGGAATAGTTTTCAGTACTTCATCATGCACATTGAAATCTTCTGACCATGCTTTCATAATTATAGGTCTATTGTTCACTATATGAGGCCCAGAATATAATACCTGATCTCTTTCCTCCAAATTGCTAAATCTTATCACAAAGTAATCTTCATTATGTTAGTAGATCTATGGTTTCACTGAGAATTTACCCACTTAGCTCAGGAATCTTTCCATTGTTCCAATAGTAGGTGATTCCCCTATCACATACAGGACAATCGCAGATCTCCATTTATCAGTTTCCTGTTCAACATCATCAAGTTCTAGTTTCACTGTCTTCTCACCATTTTGAACTACCGGAGCCATAAACTGTAAATTCATACCTTTCATGGCTAATTTGTTCCCTACTACCACATTTGCCCATGATTGATTCCTGTTTTCATTCCTTATCTCACCATTTTTACTGCTCTCAACAGTACCATAGCTGCATGGTACTGTTCCATTGTTAATAGTCTTCGTCACTTGTGTTTGAGTTTTCCCATTTCCAGATCCACCTCCTATAGTTTGTGCAGCTACAGGTGTAACAGCAATTGCCTTCAATTTACCCTTATTAAGAGAGAGATCTGCTTCCTCTTTGCTCAGCTCACTCTGCATGCTCCTCGGAGTGAAATTTCCAGTTGGCTCTTCGATTCGTACCCCTTTTGGTGACACAAACAATTCTAATACAACATTCCTCGTTTTCGTTGATCGCCGGTCATTAATTAGGACCTTTGTCTGGTTTTTCTTAGGTCTGCCTCTCCCTCCCATGGCTTCCAAGCGCACGTTAACTAGGCCACGTTAACGTGCGCCGAGAGAGAAATGTTAGAGAGAGAATTTGAGCACTTCACTTAAATATAATTAAGTGATATATATTCTCACCTTAATTTTTATTTAATTGAGTTAAATTGTTTAATTTGGTATCATATTCGGATGAGCAAAATATTTACTAGTGGTTATTTACTTCAAATAGTGTTTACTCCAAATCATATCAGCTTATTATTGTTAAGTAATTTAAATAACAAGGTGAGAATATATATTATTTTTCATGATTAAGCCATAATAATCTATTACGTAGTAGATACATGTCATGCATCTATTTGTGTTATGTAAACACCGAACAAATACAACTACTTACCCTCTTTTCTCCCTTGCCCCTCACCCTTCCTCACAAAAAAAAAAAGGAAAAAGAGGGAGGAGAGGTTGATCGACTACTTATAAGAACCCTCCCCCCCCCCCCACCCCCACTAAACCCCAAGCAGAAAAATTTATGCTATATTAAAAGTTTGAAGTCCTTTGGCGAAATATTATTCATCTTTTTTATACTTTAAGAATAAATTTTTTATTGGACAAAATCGTATTTTAAATATTTTACTAATATTTAGAATAAAATTAACTAAAATATTAT